AAAAAAAAAAAAAAAAAAAAAAAAAACAGGGATCCATGAAAGATTGAGTGCCACGATTTGATCATTATCATTCTGACTACTGTGCTTAGAACAAATTACATATAAGGAAAGCAAGGGTGAGAGCTAGGAGACTACTAAAAGGAACATGGCAAAGAAATACATACTTCCTATAAATGTTGATTGTTAACGGCAAAGGAATTACTTTTTTTTTTTCTTTTGACAGGTGCTGTTGATTGAAACTTGAGCAAACACACCCTTGCCCAGGGCTCATTTTTAAGCAAAAACTTTTAAAAATTAAAAACAAAAAAACATACAAAACTGTCATATCCTGCTAATAAGAAATGTGAAATTTTCCTTTATCAAGTTCTTGGTATGTACATTGTACAACAAAAACACAAAGTTATCTTAACTATAACTCGGGGGGGGGGGGGGTCGTGTGGACACGTTCCTCTACTTATAATCAGCTATTCCCTGTTCGAAGTCCTATGCAGCTGAGTCTGTTTTTTTTTTTTTATTTTATTTAAAGAAACAAGGGGTCAGTGGTAGAGTGCTTGCCTAGTACCTGTGAAGCCCTGGGTTCAATCCTTAGTACCATGAAAGAAAATAAATAAGCCAATGTTATTGTAGTTCTGTTAATTATTTACTAATTCTTGAAMAAAAAGTTACTTTTGTTAACTGGAAATATTACAAATCACCTTGGATTGGTGCTACTCAAATTATCTAAAATAAATGTTCCTAAATTTTTTTCAGGGGGACAATATTCTTCCTAAAAAAAAGTTTCCTTTTATGCTCCTGCTTTTAATATAACTATTTTCATAATTAATACAAAATTCACAATTAATACAAAACTTTACATCAGTTATCTAGGTCATTCACTTCAGGAAAGGACAACCACAAAAATTTCCCACTGTCAAAAATAACACATACCAAAAAATGCTCATGATCACAAAAAATCCTTCATCATCTAATGCTTCTGGCAAACACAAATGTGGTTCTCTAAAGTTATCCTTAATATAGCAATCAAAAGGATAAGAGAAAGAGCAACAAGTTAAAGATACTGAATTGCTAGAAAGAGGCTAGGGAGCATAAATTTTATAATGAAAATTCATAATTCTAAAAAATTTTGTTTATGAAACTTAGATACATTTGCTGTAGAGTGTGTATATATATATATATATATATATATATATATATATGGAAGGGATGATGAAATTTAAAAAGTTCACTTGCTTTCATGCAAAGACATTTGGAAAGACATCCAGATACTGCTTGGAATTACAGAGATTACCCCTGTGACAACTTTCAAATCCTAGGTGTATAAGTACAATAAGTATAATATTGAATGCAAGCTAATTCATTCAACATTTAGGTGTTTTAATGTGCCAGAAAATTCATGAAAACACTGAGATTAGCCATTGAGAACAGGGCTTCTAYTCTTCATTTATCCCAGTTACCAAGTACCTACTATAATACAAAGGGCACCTGGAAATACAGGGTTCCTAGACTCATACAGCTTAAACTGGGAACAAGGGGAACACCTCAAGGATGAGACACATATCAAACTAAAGAAAAAGAACATTAAAGTGTTATAGGTACTGCTTATGTAAGTGTAGAGGGTTCAGTGGGAGACACATCCGGGAATTCAAAGTGGGAGGGAGAGTAATGTCAGGACTTCAGATATAAAAGCTGAGTCCTTAAAGCTGATTAGATGTTCACCTGGCCAACCTTGGGGGAAGGGCTCCAAGCAGTGAGCAACTGTAGAAAAGGCAGAAGTGTGAAAAGCCTGATGTACTTTCTAGGCTTGTAATACAGAATGAAGAGAGAAGCCATTGAGGCTTCTATGTACTACAATTAACACTGGACCTGACTGATATACATGAAAGAACCCTCAAGGGTTTTATTCAGAAAACAGCATATGTGATCTGGTTTTTCTGGTGTGCTGAGACACTGGGTTACACAGGAATGGCAAAAGAAAACACTAATGATGTCACCACATGAAACAACAAAGGAGACTGCCCAATTAGAAAACTAAACTCCCTTCAGGAAAAAATAAGGACTACTATTCAGGCCCTTCTGGAAACTTTTTATTCAGTATCATTTAAAATGGAAAAATGCAGAGGAAAGGCTTTTAATCAGGGATTACAACATCTGCATATCTATTTCGAGTTTTCAAGAACTCTAGCTCTAATTAATTCCAACACATCTGGGGTTAGTGGTTTTTACACCAAGAGCAATGAAACCTGTTCAGGAGAATCTGATAAAAAGGGAGAACCACAAAACAGAAGGCATTTCCAGTCAGGCTGAAAGGTTTTCAAAGTTCAAGATAATCAAGTCTTAATAAGCCGGCTCGTTAAAAAGGTGTGTCAGGGGTGGAACAAGAGGATGACTTAAAATTAATATACCCATAAACAACTCTTGATATTGCTGACTAAAATCACCACTTGGAGATCTGTCTCCCAAGCAGAGGGAGAAATGAACACCTACCAGATCCAATTAACAAAGACGGGTGGGGGTGGGGAGAATCGTATATGAAAATATAAATGAGGGGGGTGGGCGGTTGACCACCTATCCAGTTGGTGGTTGCGATGAGGAAATCATACGATTCGGTCATAAAGGCAGGAAAACAATGTCACACCCAAACTCCACATGCTAAGCACCAGACATTGGCCAACGGGATATGATCACATACTCTGATCCCTGAACTCAAGGACAGGGAGTACCAGCCCCATACGGTGCCCGAGGGGAGGTGAAGGACCACCCCATTCTGAGGCTGGAAGCAGACACCCTCAGACCCAGCCTTAACGGGGTCACCACCCGCCAGGCTAGGCCTCGCCAAGGCCAGACATCCCTAAGCCCCCTCCATCTCGGCCAGCGCAGCCTCTCCTCTCACCCACCCCCAACACACACCCTCCCCTACCTGATATGGCGGCGGCGGCTCCTGATCCGGCTCCGTCCCCTCGCCAAAGCTAGCCCGGTCGGACTGAGACTCGTGAAGCAGGGAGATGTCATCCGAGGTGGGGGATTTGAGGCAGTTCCCCATCTTCCAGGGCTGGGGCGTGTGATCTGAGGGGGAGGAAGAAAGCAGTGACGGGGTCGTTCGCACGCTCCGCGGTCAGCCTCTCTCGGCGAGGTGGGGTCGACGGCAGACTGGGGTTCAGGCGGCGGCTCCCCCGCCCCCCGGCGCCGCCGAAGGGCAGCTCATGCCAGCCCCCGGGGGTGGGGACTCAAGGCTGGGCCGCGGGCCCCGCTGGGGTCGCGGCGGTTGCCTCCTCCGAGGCGGCTCTGGGGGGGGGGGCGGGGAGACGTAGAACTTCCCCACCCCGCCCCCCCGCGGGGCGGCGGCGGCCACGGAGCTGCTGGGCCTAATCCAGGTCAGGAGGTGGGGGCGCGGCCGTCACGGCTGCCTCAGCTGCTGCCTCAGCTGCTGCTGCCCCCGCCGACGCCGAAGCCGGAGCCGCGGGCCTCATCCTACTCCGCCTCAGCGCGGCGGCGGCGGCAGCCAGAACGAGGCCGGCTGGGGMCCTGCGTCACCCCGTCGTGCGTGCGCTGGCTCCGCCCCGGGCGCCCAAAGCCCGAAACAGGGCGGCTCTGGAGGCGCGGCTGGCCCCTCCCCCCTTTTGCAGCTGCTGGGGGCCAGGAGCCGGCTGGATGCGGGTACCTGACTCTGAAATCTCTCAGCGGTCTCCCACGCTTCCTTACATCCACTGCTCCAAACCTCCCCTGTTACCTCTGCACCGTTCTGATGGTCTTCTCACCACCCTCTGCCAGATAGTGTATTTATAACCCCATATCTGAATGGATCAGTACCACTGTTAAAATGCTAAATAGCTTTCCCTTTATCCCTTCAGAATGAAGTCCAACCTCTTTAGTGAACTCTCCCTATCTCTCCAATCACTTCTTTCCTACCCTCCTATCTCACACCCAGAGATTTTCCTGTTGTATATCTCAAATTATCCCATTTCTTTCCATTCCCACCACCATAGTCCCAAATTACCATAATGTCTTAACCACACTTCTGCTCCGTTAATCTCTGTGCATTCATCATTGTCATCATCCAATCTACTTTCGTAATCTCCACAGTTGACAGTTATGTTTTTTTTAATACTTTATTTATTTATGTGGTGCTGAGGATCGAACCCAGTGCCTCATGCATGTGAGACAAGCGCTCTATCACTGAGCCACACCCCCAGCCCGACAGTTATGTGTTTAACTGTAGATCTGGCCACATACTGGCCCTGTTCAAAACTTCCAGTAGCTTCCCAATTCTGTTCTTAAAACAATCTTTAAATGGTTTACAAACCTGACTGCCTCTCAAATTTCATTAGCAAGATTGTCCACACCTTCACGAATTCTAAACTCTAGGCCATTCAAAGTGCTTCTAGTTCTCTCAAGAACTGTTCCCTTTGGTTGGGGCCTTTGCCCATATTGTTTCTCTGACAGAAATCCACTTCTCAGTCCTGGCCTTCTACCTCTCATCAGGCTGATCATTATTCCCACCTGTTCCTCCTGTATTCAATTTCATTTTCCTTGGGAAGCCTTTCCTGACCCTCCAGCCTAGATTAATYACCTCTTCTGTGCTCTCAGACCTTGAACTTTTCTCTTTCACAGACTGATCAAGCTGAATCATCTGTCCCTCCTCTGTACAAGGCCTGGCACATTGCCTAAGGTAGAGCAGGCTCACTTCTTGGTTGAATGAACAAATAGCTCAAACAGCATATGCAAAGAAAACAAGAAAGATGAGAGTACTCCTAATATTCATTCAATCTGAAGACAAAGAAAAAAAAAGACAAGAAATGGATTTTGAATCCTTTTTTTATATTCTTATTTGTATATGTATGTGTCCCTATATGAGGCACTAATAAAACTGATGATTATCCAGCCTGGCTTGTTTTTGGTGGAGCCTAGAATCCAGCTAGGAAGACAAGTAAACAGAGGAACCCTTCTGAGCCTCTCCCCAACCCCTACAGTCTTTAGAGAACTGAGAAGAGAATGATTAGTTCAGTTGGCTAAGGATCAGAAAAATTCCTAGAGTTAATATTGTTTTAAACAATATGGGCCTTAGCACCCTTACTTTGGAGTTCCTAATTCTACAAAATCACATTCTTAAAATACATTCAAATTCCATGTTAAATATAACATTTTGTAGTAGTATTTCTTTTCTTTTTCTTTCTTTCTTTTTTTTTTTTTTTTTTGGTGGGAGGGGCTGTACTTTGGATTAAACTCAGGGGCATGCTATCACTGGGCTACATTACCCAACCCCTTTTGAAACAGGGTCTTGCTAAATTGCCCGGGCTGATCTTGAATTTGTTGTTCTCCTGCTTCAGCCTCTTGAGTTACTAGGATTACTGGTGTGTGCCACCATGCCTGGCTAATGTAAAAAACTTTTAAAGATTGTAATAATTTTGATTTTTAAATTGTTGAGTTTCCAGGAAGTCATGTAATTTGTGCTTAGCTAAATCTTCCAGAAATCAGAGGTACTCCTGAATTTTTGCAAAGTGAGGAAAATTTAACTTACAAATTATTTTCATGTCTAATGACACTTCATAAATAACAAATTTAATGTAATGTTTACACAATGCTAGAATTTATAGATACAGGGTTTTTTGTTGTGGTTGTTTTTTAGGTTTTATTTGTGTCCTACTTTTTTTCTTAATTTTGCGCTTGCTCTCTATCTCTCTTTGTCCTCTCTCACTCGCCTCCCCCTCCATATACATATATATATACACCATATTACTACCTCAAGTAGGTACAGCTTTAGATCTCCGTGTGGTGAGAGAACAACTGTTGCATGTTCCTGAACCCAGCACTACCACCTAATTTAGGTGACAATATTGATAATAATGAGAGTTTCCCTCTCATTCCACAGAAATTCAAGTCAGTTGTAAATTTTTTTTTTTTTTTTGTTACTCTTTGTTTGGTACTACAACTTTAATCCAGGAGTGCTTTATCACTGAGCTACATCCCCAGCCCTTTTTTTTTTTACTTTGAGACAGGGTCTAAGTTGATGAGGCTGGCCTCAAACATGCAATCCTCCGACTTCAAACTCCTGAGATGCTGGGATTGCAGGCGTGCACCACTGCACCTGACTGCAAATTGTTTTTTTAAGTAGCCACAGAAAGTATGATTTTATAATAACATCTAGAACATAAAGCATACATATGAAGAGGAGRTATGGAATTATATTTTAGAAAAGGTGGGTGGTTATTTATCATTATTTCCTTAGGAAGAGACTCCCCCTTTCCCCCTTCCTGTGGTGTTAAGGATTAAATTTAGGGCCTCATACATGTTAAGCAACTGCTCTGCCACTGAATAACGGTCCCCTAGCCCCAGCATTATTTCCTAAGGGATGGACAAAATACCAGCTATAATTCTAACACAGTTTTTTTTTTTTTTAAGAGAGAGAGAGAGAATTTTTTTAATATTTATTTTTTAGTTTTCGGCAGACACATCTTTGTTTGTATGTGGTGCTGAGGATCGAACCCGGGCTGCACACATGCCAGGAGAGTGCGCTACCACTTGAGCCACATCCCCAGCCAATTCTAACACAGTTTTAAAAAATGATACAAATGGTCTTGATGATAATAAAATAATGCATAAGAAACTATATAWTCATAGTTATGCACCACATAATATTTCAGTTGACAACAGACTGTATATATTATGATGACCCATAAGAATATTGGAGCTGAAAAATTCCTATCACCTAGTGATGTCTAGTCATTGTAACATTATAGCACAATATGTTACCTGAGTGTTTATGGTGATGCTAGTATAAACAAACCTACTATACTATGGTCATGTAAAAATATAGCACATAGAATTATGTACACTACATAATACTTGATAATAAACAACTGTTATTGGTTTATGTATTTACTGTATTATCCTTTTTATAATTATTTTAAAGTATCGCCTTATACTTATAAGAAAAAAGTTTGCTGTGTTACACCAATAGCAGCCTCATATATTTTGTGTTTCCCACAYCTCTTAATTGCATCATTTTCTCTTGTGCTTGACTTAATCATGTTATTTTGTTCATTGTGGTCCCTAATCATGCGAAATCCATTGCAAGTGTTGCTAGGAAGAGGCCACATCAACTGAGTGACCTGAAAACCAAATTAAAAGTGATTAAGAAGCTGGTTGTGGTGGTGCACACCTGTGATCCCAGCTACTGGGAGGTGAAGAAAGGAGAGTTACTTGAGCCCAGGAGTTTTTGGCCAGTCTAGGCAAAACAATGAGAGCCAATCTTAAAAAAAAAAAAATTAAGGACTACAAAGGTGGAAAATCAATGATTATTATTAGTCACTTCTCAGGCATGTCCCATTACACTATAAGTAGGATTTTGAAGAACAAGAATAAAGTGACAGAGGCTGTTAAGGGATCTATTTCCATTGAAAG